ATATCTGATTAATATATATATATATATATATATATATATATACATGCTTCGGAATGTTTTATTTTTATTAGTTAATTATGCAAAGTGTTTTTCAGTTGATTTTACAAAATGGCATGTTAAATCTAAAATTAACGTTTCTGACAGAGCAACAGCAAAAAACATTTAAAAACATACATATCGAGTATTATATAGCTCTATTTTATATTTATTATTTACGTTTGTGTTGCAAGTAAATAGTATATTCATAACAAAAGATGCTGAGTCTTAAAAAAAGAAATTTCTTCCCTGTCTTAAATCTTGCACAAGCGAGATGACGCCAATAGTGAGTTGCTCTTAATTTTTTTTTTCATATTATATTTCCTGTAATTATATTTATTTATAATTTTATTTTTATATGTGCATAACGACCTGCGCTTTATAAAACAGAACAAGAGACTTAATGCACATATAGTTTATGATCAGAATTAAAAAATGTCCCATCTAACAGGTAATACGAATTAAGACTAGTAATGAGACATTATTTTTTAACCTCTGCCTATGCGTCACTGCCAAAAAGGAACAATTATACATATACAGAATTTTGAAATGACCTCGAAAAATAAAATGATATATTCCATTATTTTATTAATTCCAATGCAAAATATGTTGATCGGCAACAAAAGCAACAAAAAGAAAAAAATCGAAATTAAAAACCAATCTATTTCAAGGTCAGCGATATCGTTCTTAAATAAAAATGAATTAAATAATTTCTTCACTTTGATCGTAAGGAAAATAAATAATAATTTGAATACAAAACAATAATTGATCATCGAGTTTTGTGTATTGACTTTCGCACTCAGTTATAGGTATATCTGTTTAACATTAAATTTTCAAAAGTTTAGATTTTTCCAATGTAATCTTGGGCTCTAAAATAAACTGGTAATGTATAATGTATAATTATAATTGAGTATTTTTGTGGTTGATCTTTAAATTATTATTTATTCAAAAAATTCACTTAATTTCATATCCAATATGTAACTAACTGAAAACTGATAATAAAGCAGCAGATATGACGAAATAGTGTAGACTTTTTTTAATGTCGGTAATAGAGTGTATGTATAATAACTAGAGAGCGGAAAATATGCAGCAAAATTTTGGGAAATATGATCATATGACATGCATCAAATTTATGCAAATATGCAATAACTTTCTTAATATATGCAGAGATATGCAGTTGCACATGCTCAAAAAATTAAAAAAAAGCGTAATAACCGAACTAAATTTATTTACAAATTGCAAAAACACCTTAACTTTTATTACAAAAAATACATAAATCACATTGCAAAGTGTTTAATTAGATCTCACTGACAAATAAATGACATTTTTAAGATAATATTCTTATACTCAAAAATAAATATAGGTAAACAGAACGAATTAAAAAATAGTAGTAATCGACTATTTAATTACTATTTTGGTAACAATTTATTTTTAAATATTTTTCGAAATATTCTAACAAAAATTTTTCCGGTGATTCTAAAGTATGTATTTGTAAATAAAAAAACTGCGTACTGCGTCCACAGATGTAAAAATACTTATCGGATTAGAGCAGGCACAACAAAACACAATTCCTTCTTGAAGAATAAGTTCAGGAAAAGGTTTAATTCATAATAGTTATTTACATTATGAGTGCGGTAGGTAACATTTTGCAGGTTGAGGTCGTAATTTGCCACCCGACGCGAAGCGGAGGGTGGCATGGGACCGAAACCTGCAAAATGCCTAACGTACGAAAATTGTATTCAATTTTTTCCCCGACATTGAGTTTATTTAAAAAAATATTTCATTTTAAAAATATTTTCCGAAATGGCAAGAAATGAAGTGACATTTTCGGGACTTGACGTTTACTGAAGGAATCTATAATACCGACAACCACGAGATGGCGCCACGTGATTTTTTTTTAAATTATTTATTTTTTCTAATTCAAAAGTTTTGATTGAACAAAACATTATGTAAAGTAGTGTTCTAGTATGTTTTCTTTTATTATTTATACAGAACTTTTTTTAGTAGAGCTTCTAGAGGCTAATGCATATTGAGTTACTTTGGCGCCCAAAGGCGGTAAAGCGACGGTAAATTGATATTTGGTGCGTAAAGTCACTGTTACGCGGCATGTCAAACGTGTGCGAATGTTTTGTTTACATGTGAGGAGGGGAAAAATTAATTTGAGTTATCTACATATTGACACACATCTCTATCGCTTTAAATACTTAAATGCAAACTCACGATGAAAAATAATAGGATAACGTCCCTTCGACCACCATAAAACATACCATTAATACACTTAAGTAACGAACAAAAATATTGAAATGAACGGTATTTCCAAAAGTAATAATTAGGACCCGAATTTACCTGGAAGGATGGCTTAACACCCAGTGGTTCCTCCAAACTACCATAAAACCCAAACCCAGTTATTTGAAGCTCAGGACAATATTTGCAATATGATTCATGAAGTTTCGTTTTTCTAGAAAAATACCGATCGAATGGCATTTTTTTTTCAAAGTAGCACAAAAATTGATAAAAATGCAAAATATGCACCCGGTATGTGAAATATGCAGCAGAAGGCAAATATATGCAAATATGCAATTTTTTATAGCTGCATTCATTTTTAATTAGCATGATTCGTTCACATATTAAATATCAAGACTTATATGCAAAAAATAACGGATATGCAAATTTCATAAAATCCGCTCTCTAATAATAACCAATACCTGCGCCTAAATTAAGGAAAATTTCCAACTGGACAATCGCAATAATCCCCCTTGTGTTCTTAATAGTACTTTTACACCTCTCCCCCCTCCCCCCCATTAAAGTGCAGTATGATTTTGTCGATTTTGTGAGAATACCTACAACATTAATAATAAATAAATAATAGCAAAACGCAAATTCAAAATAAATATATTGTAAAGATATAAACAAAAATCTAAAAAAGGCATAATACCGACACGATTAATACATACATATATCACTATTTAAAGGTACATCACAAAAGTTTGTGTGTTGTCTTCCCAAAACAGAAGACTAAAATAATTAATTAAGCCACAATCGAACAAAATGTTCTGAATTTTATTATTATAATTCTTATTTTGTCATTTTTAAATAAAGACTTGCGTATTCTCATATTTTTAAGAAAATGGGGTGACACGTTCTTAATTGGATCAATAAAAAAATTGTGATGACGCCAATAATAATGTAAATAATACTTGTCATAGCACAAAAGAAAATTAGAAACAGCGCATTACCAATGCAAGAAAAAAACAAAGTGATAAGAGCTGTGAAGGCAGTACGACTCCGCAAATACGACTGATAAAATTTTTGTTGTGCAATTTTTCGAAATCACTGAGACAAGTGTTATTGTTAAGCAGGTACGTGACAGAGCGAAAATAGCACATCTGGGGTTTCTTGAGGTTCCAACTTGACAAATAAAATCATAAAAATTCCTCGATTCTTTTCGGTGAAGGGATGAACCGGCGTCAGTAATAGTAACTTACGCTCGGGAAGTAAAAATATTAATAATGTGAAAAAGTTACTGCACAAAATGTGTAGAAGTGCACATTAATTTAGGCCCTGCCCAATACATCGGGTATGTTTCTGTTGTTGTCTTCGTTCGACACCACTGTATTTACAGTATTTAAGCAGGTATACGTTTCCGCCCCTAAAATCCCACGTACGGCATCTTTTGCCCAAGTAAATACAGCACCTGGAATGAAGACAGAAACAGAAATAGTTTTACAACACCTTATCAAAATTTAAAAAAACCACTATGGTATTATTTGAAATTTATTGTTAAAGATTGTATGGTCAATTAGATGTGGGTCGTCGTATTCTTTAAAAAGTGACCTTCGTCAGTGAGTTCGTAATGCTTAATTAATAATTATATTCAGAGCGAAAAATACAACGGCTTTATTAGAAATACACCAAAGACAAGTTTTTTCATTGTAATAATTTCTAAGAATTATTTCTGTAAACTTGTTCACTTGAAATGTTATTTTGTAAGTACCTGCTTGGCAAATTATAAATAGAACATCTGTAAGGTGACCAGATTTCAAAAGCCCGAAACCGGAACATTAGTTTCCATTTCCATCGTAATCTGATATATAACTGCTTTGAAAATTTTTAGTTGTAATATACTAACAGTATTGACATCTGCTGACATTTAAAACAGTGCTGACAACCGTATCGATACAAGTTTTGTTCCCAATTTTTCACAAAATCAAATTACTATTCATGAAAATTAGTGATTTATCCGAGGATTTATCTTTATTCTTATCAGATTTATAGAAATCGGAACATTCACGGAACGAATGTTGTAATCGGAACATTTATTGGACGAAATTTGAAATCGGAATTATTAGAGTATTGAAATCGGTACAGTTTCGATCAAATCGGAACGTCTGGTCACCTTAAACATCTGGGGTTAATATAGGGAAGACCCAACGACACAAACAAAGCCATAAAAATTCTTTGCCCATTGTCCCTGAAACGGGACAAGGTTTTGAAGAGTTCATTCGTCGAATTTTGATTTTATAACGATGTTTATAAAGCGATGATGGGTAGCAAAAAAACTAGAGAGTGGTTAATTTTGATTTTATTAAATTTATTTTATCTAGTGAAAAAATAACGCTCAACTTCTGCATTTACTATCCACCAGATGTTTGGGGGGTGCAGTCGGACCTTTGTTGGTTTGGTTTGTCTATGAGTCGGACGATCCCTTTTTTCCGTATTTATGGTTATTGCACTTCAGACTCACAGTGAAGCTGTCGAATTCCATTTGGCCATTTGGTTCACAATCACCGAACCTTTCTCGTGAATCCGTAAATCACTTCATTTTTAATGCAGTTTTGTGAAAATTGTGCCATTCAGTGTGGATTAAATTTACACTAGGTAAGTTAATATAATTCTAATGAAGTAATCATTTTAATTTTTACATGCTTCTGTTGTTTTTGATAGCTGTACATAAATAACAACAACAGTTTTTTCAGACAAGCTGGAAATACCACCATTAATCACTGAAGATACTCCCGCTGATTTTGAAGAACTTACGGTGATTGTTTTTGAAAGTGAGGCGCTTTGCCACAACATGTTGCAAAGGTATGTTACTGCAATTTTTTATGAACTAGGTGCTAATGAACATAATTTTACTCTAGACTTGAAACAAATACAAAAAATATGTGCGAAACAAAAGAAATTCTAAAGGAAACGAGTGAACAAATCTCCAATATGAAAACGTCATCAAATGTGACAAATCAAAAAGAAAACAGTAATAGAAGATATGCCGCCAAGACCACAGGTAAACAAATTTTGAGGAATTAGAAGATTATCTCTGCCTACTACAACAAGCAGGTTTCTTTGTAAGTTAAAAAAATACAATTAGTCCAGTCAAATTAGCGATCAACCTCGCAATGAGAGATAATAAGCTGAATTTTCGTATATACCTTCATTTTAGCGTTCTAAAAGTTGTCTCAAAAGTCTCATAAAATCTCGTGTCTGCGTCGTAAGTTATTCAAGGTCAAAGGTCAAGAAAAACATTATTTTGCGATTATCTCGGTTTCTATTGCTCTAATGATGTTAACACCTATTATCATAATTGTAGAGCACAAATTTGGGACAAATTTTATTTGAAACATTTTTTGATACACTTAATCGTTTTTGAGATAGCGGCCAGTGGGCGCGCAGCGTTCATCCATACATACTGTAATGCAATCAACCGTGAAAATATCTGTGAATACTACCTTGAATTTTGAAAAATTTGTATTATTTATCAGTTAATACATTGCATTTAATAACATTTTGCATATTTGCAATACATTTATTTAATGATACTTACCTACTTTGTGTAATTAAAAACTCTTTAAATGACATATTTATTCTAGGTATATCTTAGGTTAGATTATTATACTATATCTTAAAGTTATATTAATTTTTTCAAAGTAAATTTTAAGGAAGTAAAACGAGTTCATATATTTTAATTTTATCTTTATTCAGCAGCTAGACATTTCTTACGATTCATCTTGCAGTGAAAATCTATATATTTTTAATAATTTAAAGAACAAAAGTATCAATTTTCTTCTTCTGCACCGTCATCTTCTGGACGTTCGGGAATTTCTGTTTCATCGTCGTCATCTTCGGTGTCCTGAATTGTTGTTTCCAGACCTTCCCGTTATAATCATGATAAGAAAATAAGTATTTAAAAACTTGCACATTTTAAAGATACAAATAAATTGAGATATACAATAAATATTTCATTAAATGAGTTTTTAATTACACAAAATAGTTAAGTATTATTCTATGAATATATTGAAAATATGTAAAATGTTATTAAATACAATGTATTAATTGATTAATAATACAAATTATTCAAAATTCAAGGTAGTATTGACAGATATTCACGGTTGATTGCATTACAGTACGTATGGACGAGCGCTGCGCGCTCACTGTCCTCTATCTCCAAAACGATTGAGCGCATGAAAAAACATTTTAAATAAAATTTGTCCCAAATTTTGTGCTCTACAATTATGATAATGATTGTTAACATCATTGGAGCAATAGAAACTGAGATAATTGCAAAAAACTGTTTTTCTTGACCTTTGACCTTGAATAACTTACGACGCAGACACGAGATTTTATTAGACTTTTGAGACAACTTTTAGAACGCCAAAATTAAGGCGTATACAAAAATTCAGCTTATTGTCTCTCATTCCGAGGTTGATCCCTTTTTTATGCTAAAATGACTGGACTAAATATATTTATATGTACTTACATATAACATAATTTTGGATATTATATACAGGTAGATGCCTGTAATACTATAACACTTTTTAGGAACCTACTAAACATGACACATTTCGCTTAACACGTTACATACATACTTAGTGGGTTGCAGAAAAGTCTTATAGTGAAGCACCCTGTATGTTATACATACGCGGTGACTTCCAAATAGATTCGGAAAAAAAAATCCTTTAATTGTCACACGGATTCAAAGTAATTAAATTGCTGCTCCAGTTTCAAGAAACAAATACGGAACAACTTGTTAAATGTAAATGATGCGGCAATGATTTATTCAGTTTCCATTGTGACTAAATTTTTTCTTTATTTTTGCTGTGTGTTGCTTAGATGAAAACAAATGACACTGAATGAGGTGTGGATCTTGATATTTTTCCCCTGAATTAGGACTAGATAAAAGAAATTACTTAAAATTTTCTCTACTTCGTGATCTTGTGGTTTTATTTTCCGAACTTATTTCAGAGTTACTCGATATATACACATAAAAATATTTTCTTCTTTTCTTATTTCAGGAACTGCTATTGTCCCAGATAGGTGGTAATGGGAAAAAGAACAATGTGGAGCGTATATTAAAAAAAAAAAATTCAGCGAATTTGCTGTAGCTTGTTTGTTCGGTAGGTAAATTCCAAAATGGTTGGGACAAAAACAATGAATATTATGAAAGGTATTTTTTTTGCAATAAATATAATTATTACAATTTTTATTTTTGAAGAAATTACAATGAAGACCCATTCCGCAATAGAAAAAGAAGTAGAACAACGCTGCTCAGAGTGGCTACGACATTCTAGTCAACGCCTGAAGAAAGAAAAAACAACGACAGTTTATAGTTTCTGTGTCTTTTTTTAAGTGTAAATTATATTGTATTATTTTCGAATTAGGAAATCATATATATATATATATATATATATATATTTATTTATATTATGAATTTATATTAATTTTTGTATTTTATTACTTATTACTAGAGCTGTGCGGTTGAAATTTATTTATCCCCACTATCCGTCCCATCAGGCCAGCAGTGCAGGCCGCTGCAGTCTTGCCTTCCTCGCTTCTCGCTTCCCAGTTGTGTATTATTTTTCATAATTCACACCAATCGGTTTGTTGTCAACGAGACCGACACTTGAACATTATTAAAATTATTGTTCTTATTATTTCGTGGATATGGATTTTAAAATCATCAACTGACTTTCAGTGAACATTATTTTTCGCGTAAATTCCTTCGCGATACGTAACATCGGCTGCGAGACACTGGCCTGCAGTAGTAGGGGTCGATTCAAAGCGTTTAAATTTCGACCGCCTAGCTCTACTTATTACATATTATATTTTTTCAAACATTGAATAAAATAATAATTTACTGTAAGCTCTAAATTTTACTCTCCATATCCATATCCCTAAATGGTAACTAGACTTTCTGAAATGCCTATTCATATCGCATAGATCATGTTAATAAAATATACTGAGAGTCATATGTTTACGATGTTGCGATATATACGTAACGTCTATGTCCATTTAATACGTTATATTGGGGTTTAAAATAAAACGTAACAGATACATAAAAATATAGCGAATCTAGCGACATACTAACACAACGTTATGATGATGTACCGCGAGCACGTCTCTAGTCTGAAAGGATGTGGATGTCACCAGTATGTTACAAGCATGGGTCACTGTTGATTACATTACATAGCACAGGGAAAGCAAATGTACGCAGTTTGGGATGTAACAGCTAACAAGATCGTAGACAGAGTTAAGTGGCATTAACATCGCTACAACGTAACTGTGTTTACTGGGAGTGTTTCAAAAAACAAAGCAGGTTATTCGTCAAATTATAGGCCATAACCTAATTTATTTTCACGTCGATGAAACAACCGATTCATGTGGACGTTATGTCCCAAATTTGTTAATTTAAACTTTTACCAGTGAAAAATGTGGCACTTCATTGATTCGCACAAAAATTTGGGAAAAGACAAATAATAATTTTATTCATGAAGGTTTAACGAACTTTTTCTTTTGGAACCAGTTTCAGATGCTGCTACATACATCTAATTTTTTTTCCTCGTTTTATCCATGTTGCTATTACATGGTTGACTCATGGTATAAAGATTGGCTGAGGAAATTGAAATTTATTTCCAATAGTAGTAGCAGTAGATTTAATCACTAATGTTGCAAAATTTTTATTAAATCACGTTTGAGGGCACAATTTTATAGAAATGCATTGCCCAATTTACCATTACCTTCACAACTTCTTGTAAATAGGTGGGGAATATGGTTAAATGCAGTTGTATTTTATACCAAAAACGACAATGCAATTAAGAATTTTGTTGATGAGGTGTCAGATGATGCTACTGTCGTGCCCAAATTGTTTTTGACCACGGCCGAGCATTTGGACTCTAACGAAATTATTTATTTGGGTGTAGGCCCATTTCCTTGGAAATGGAAGAGCTAAACTGCATGTGGGGAAAGAGGTAATAATCAAACGCTCCTAACATTTTAATACATATATTGAAAGATAAAACTACAAAACTACAAGCATAATAAAAGGATAAATCAGTAAATATATAAATGAAGAATATCAAAATAAAACATGAGATTAAACTTACATAACTGAAACATGCAATTGTGTTCCATTATTGAAAACCTTAAAATCTACGAACATAACCCACGAAACTAATTAAAATTAATCCTAAAAAAATCCTCTAATATCATCATGCAATTAAAAACTTGAATTTAACCTAGTAAATCCCTACCTATAGATACCTTCTAAACCATAATAATATTACGTGCGTGATACATAAACTTCGAAAACTCCTAAATATGAATTCGAGTAATGCACTTAAGTACTTAAATAAACTGCGACTGGGCATTTACCCGCTAACTAAGTGCTATTAAAACAGCTAGAAACAATTAATAGCTATTTAACGAACAAGTTTGTTAAAGAAGGCGATTAGTAATCGAGATATTTTAACGCGCTCGTTCCTCGCGCGTTAATGGTCGAGATTATTAATCGCCTAGTAACAGTCGAGCTAGTTACAATAAACATTAGTTGGATAGGTCCAAATCATGATGGATGCATACATAAAGTGGATCGAAGCATAGAATACTTTGGCCACAAGCGTGCTATTGAGCCTTTTTGGGAAATTTCGGAGAAGGATGTAAGTAATACGAATTCCGAATACCTTACAACCAGCTTTTCGGCTAATTTAGTGACCCCACATTTGCGTTTTCTAGGAGGAGTTAAAGAATCGATTTCTATGCAATTTCCCATTTTGAATCTTGACTTGGAAAATTTTTGACATTCAGAATTATGACATTTCACGTAAGGACGTGTATATCTGGTTGCCTAAAATCATGCATTAATAGCCCTTATTAATGAACGATCACCGGAAAAACTAATAATTCAGTGGAATTCAAAGAAATCTTCCATTGAAAATGAAGAAAACAACTAAAATAACTTGTGAAATTAAACATGCAAAGAGAGACATAAATAAATTTTACTTTATTTAATTAGCTAAAAGCGCCGAGTGCCAACACTTAATCACGAGAAAATCAGTGGCTACGGGATGGTCAAATAAAAGCAAAACTGAATAGTCAGTCTGTAATTACAGCTAAACGTGGAGAAATTAGTACCATAAATGCTCTAAAATACAGTGAAAACATTACATTCGGATGAAGTGTGAGGTTTCCCAAAACTATGGCAAAATAATCAGAAAACGGGATCATACTGAACAGTAATAAACTCAAAATAATTTTATCAACTACAAGGAAATCAGATTAAATTCGTTCCGATTCGAAAACTTCCCAACAACTGCTCTAAAATATCCGTGTCGCGAACGCAGGGGTCGAGTCCGCAAATTAAGGATTGGATTAATTTTCATAAAAAGCGATCGGTAAATTATCAAAAAATCCTCCTCGACAACCAAAATCTGACGCAAGGCCAAGAGTACCACCAGTAAACGAGAACATCTGTTAACGCTAAAAATTCCATCCGCCCCGACGCTATCTATTCACACCAAACGCACGAAACCCCCGACAAAAAACGCATAAATTAAACGCTTAATAGAACCGGCCGAAATCGAGAACATATTATGGCAGAGACAGACCGAGATAAGTTAAGTATGACTGAAATTTAGACTTACACAGATGCAGCATAGAGATTTTTCTATCTTCTTCTCGGACAGAATGTCCCACTACAACTCGGAACTTTAATTAAAATCACTTCCTGCGCTCATGCTTTTATACATATTTACACATTTATCTTGTATCCTGCGACGTTAGTAAGCCATGATTCTAATTGATTTATTTGTTACATGGAACGCGACTTTAGGTCTTATTTTGCTATTTTATAAGGTTTAATTTCGTTTGAATATGGCTTCGTTTCTGACGTTTTTATGTGACTACTGTGACAATCGTCGGTTTTTTTCAAGTTGCATTATGATTCCCATATCGTCATCGCCACATTGCGTCTGCGTTTCGCCTGCTGCTGTTTAACTTTGGGTACGAATTAGAATGAAAATAATTGCGATTAGCGGTTTTTATGGGTGTAAGATTCTGCGCATGTTATTCGCAATGCCTGACAACCGCAATGATATTTGCAATTTGCGAGTATGCAAATTTTTGTTCTGTTTAAATGGTACTATATACAGATTAGGGCATGTGTGTTAAGTAATTAAGATTTGCAAATTTGCGAATTTTGTTATGTTCTAGGGATTTGTTATTCGTCTTTTTGTTACGATGTTCTCGTGAACGAATTTAGTGACGGCTCGTCACACTACCTCTATTAAAGAAGTTAAAATAATTTTTGCTGAAAGAGAACCGCCATGTTTATTTCAGTTAATTTTTTCCATAGTTGCTGATACAATTTTAAAACTTGAATGGAACAATTTAGCACTGGTAGATTCTATTCAGTTAGTCACAAATTGTTTTAAAAAACTATCCAATGTTCAAGGTTAAATAGGTGAAAACGTTTTTCAAACATTTAAATCAGTTTTAGAAAAAAATGTAGGTTCTAATACCTTGTCGCTTGTGAGTAAAATTTTGAGAGGAGGATTTGTAAATGTGGATATAGACATTTTGGAAAACATTTAATAATAATCAATTGGTTTAATAAAAATTATAGCTAAAATATAAATAATGTGTAAACGTCATTTCCTTACATACCTACTAAATTTAGTTATAATTCGAATTCTTATATTGTAAATAAATGTTACAAGAGCTGTACTTTAAACAATAAATAGTTAAAAAATGTAATTTTATTTCATTAGGCATATTCAAAGTAAGTATTTGCATATTTATTTCATAATAAACAAAAAACAATGTGGAAAATCATAAACGACTGTATAAACAAAAAGGACAATGATATGGATAATAGTAAATTTTGGCAGAGGAATTTAATGATTATTTCATACACATTCCTAACTTAATTTTGAATCGACAAGTGTGATAACCTCTGTTTACCCTGAATCCCCTGATGGGTGGTTACCAGGGTGGAAACATACTAACAACTCACTTTCACATCTTTATTTCACTGTTCTTTACTACACTAACAATAACTACTTCTATCACTCTACTTCTGCTTCTTCTTCTTCCCAATTCATACACACGCCTTAAATAAACTAAATATTGCTAACTCTACTATTTCATT